GGGAGTGGGAGGGGGAGTTCAAATGGTTTGCGACTGGAAGGTGTTGTCGTTTGTCGTTTGTCGTTTGTCATTTGTCGTGAACAGAGTGCAGATGCTCTACAAAATGGCCTCCGAGCCTCAGCTTGGTCTCACCGATGTAGGGGAGGCCACATCGGGAGCAGCAGATGTAATAGACCACATTGGTAACGTGCAGGTAAACCTTTATCTGATGTGAAAACTTTTTTTGGTTCCTTGGATGGAGGTGAGGAGGGAGGTGTAGGGGCAGGTGTAGCACTTCCTGCGGTTCCAGGGAAAGGTGCCGGGGGTGGTGGGGCTAGTGGGGAGTGTGAAGTGGACAAGGGAGTCACGGAGAGAGCAGTCTCTATGAAAGGCAGATAGGGGTGGGGAGGGAAATATATCTTTGGTTGTGGGGTTGGATTGCAGGTGGCAGAAGTGGCAGAGAATGAAACTTTGAATACGGAGGTTAGCGGGGTGATGTGAGGACAAGGGGATTCTGCCTTTGTTTTTGTTGCGGGGTGGGGATGTGAGGGTAGAGGTGTGGGAAATGCAAGAGATGCGGTCAGGGGCATTTTCGACCACCGAAGGGGGGATGTTGCGGTCCTTGAAATAAGAGGATATCTGGGATGTTCGGGAGTAGAACGCCCAATCTTGGGACCAGATGCAGTGAAGGCAGAGGAATTGGGAGTAGGGGATCGCATTCTTGCGGCAAGGTGGTTGAGAGGTGTACTGTAGGTCGCTGAGAGAGTCGGTGGGCTTGAAATAGATATTGATATCGGTTTTGAGGCGGCCACCAGAGATGGAGACAGAGAGGTCCCAGAAGGCGAGAGACGTATCAGACATGGTCCAGGTGAACTTGAGGTTGGGGTGAAAGGTGTTAGTAAGGTTGATGAACTGTTCAAGCTCCTTGTGGGAGCACAAGGCAGTGCTGATACAGTCATCGATGTAGCGGAGGAAGAGTTGGGGGATAGTGCCAGTGTAGCTGCGGAAGAGGGATTGTTCCACATATCCTACAAAGAGGCAGGCATAGCTTGGTCCCATGTGGATTCCCATGGCCACCCCCTCAGTCTGTAGGAGGTGGGAGGAGTTGAAGGAGAAGTTGTTAAGGGTAAGGATGAGTTCAGGTAAGTTCTCCCTCTGCCTTGGTTATCATTTATCTCTCAACTAATCTCAGTAAAACAGATTACACGATCATTGCCTCGTTGCCGTACACAGGTCAGTTGCTACATTTCCTACATTACAACAGTGACTGTATTCCTGGGAGGTGTAGCTGAATTAGTAATCCAGAACCCCAGGTTAACGTTTTAGGTACATGGGTTCGAATCCTATCAAGGTAGATGGTGATATTTTATTTTAGTAAAAACCTGGAATGAAAGCTAGCCTAATGGCGTAACCACTGTCAATTCTCATCAAACCCATCTGGACCACTGCTGTCCTTAGGGAAGGAGATAAAGGATAAGTATAAAGGACTCTAATTTATCTGACTGATGAACTCAAGGTAAAACACTCACCAAGTTTCTGTACTTAATGAGAAAATAACTTACGAACACATTGCCTTTATCCAATAACAACTAGGAAATATGAATTGCTAACTTATAACTCAAACTTAAACTTTACTCCTTCTTAAATTTCCCCTCTCACGTACAGACACACAAAGACCCAAAAACAGGACATGGATGTTAAGGGTGGAAAAGGGAAATACGATTTGATAACACCAGTCTCAACCACAGGATTCAATGAGTTGTTTTTTTTTTCCCCTCTTCCTTTCAGTTGTTTTTAGTCTTTGCTGTTGTTTGGACACTAATGACCTTAGTTCGTTAGTTAAGAATTGATCTTTTCACTGTCTTTGATTCATCTTTCAACCACGGATTTGTAGGGAAAGGGGAGTGGAAGCCAGTTAGCTGTTACTGGAGACATTCCGATACCTCTACAGAGTAAAGTGGAGGGGGAGGTAGAGAGTGAGGGCATGAGTCGTTCTTTATAGTTTGGGTGTTTCTCTTATGTGCTGGCCCCACATAGGAGATGGTCACTTGGTCAGCAGCCAATCATATCATTTTTGCCAAGCAATTGTCCCCTAGTTCCCCATTGGCTCCATTTCATCTGCTTTTGCGCTCACTGTTCTGGGATTTAAACAATGTTATATACAACTCTCACTTTACTCCAGTAAACACGATCTTAAACACGATGTTTAAAACTGCAGCCTTCTCTTTGTATAATTTCCTTTGTTTAAAAAAGTATCTTCCTTTTTTTAGCCCACAGTCCAAAATTAAAAAGAAATAAAAAGATATAGTGTTTACACACTCCACCCTTAGGAAAATACCATTTCAAAACGCCTTTCATCTCAAGGTCTGACACACGCATCAGAATATGATACATAGGCCCATTCATTTTCATTGTCCCCGATACAAGTCCTATAGAACATTTTATCACCTCTTAAATCCTTAATCTTAGTTCATAATTTTATATATGAGACAAGATGTCTACAATCATTATTTTTACCAGCAATATGAACAACCTTTGTATCAACTGGTTGAATCAGTAGACTCCATTTGAACAATGAGAGACAACAAGGTGCAGAGCTGGATGAACACAGCAGGCCAAGCAGCATCATAGGAGCAGGAAGGCTCATCAGAAGGGTCTAGGCCCGAAACGTCAGTCTTCCTGCTCCTATGATGCTGCTTGGCCTGCTGTGTTCACCCAGCTCTGCACCTTGTTCTCTCAGATTCTCCAGCATCTGCAGTTCCTACTATCTCCATTTGAACAATGTTGTATTTTGGGTGTGGAATTTTTCCAACAAAAAACATTTCCCAGACACCAAAAGTTTCAATAGCTCTGCATACAGTCTCTTACTCTAAATAAATAATTAAGATTAATAACTCAAAATCTATATCCAAATCTTCACTTGAAACTGGTGAAAAAGATCAACTTAATTTTGTTCCATAATGAATTCCCCTGCTTCAGTGCCTAAAATTACATTGATTTAATCAGGCTCCCAAGTCAATGCTCTTGGATTAGAGTTGTTGGATTCTTCCTGTGATTCCCCTAGCATTCCTGTTTCAGTAAAGTCATCCTCCAGGTAAGACTGGGAAACTTTTTTTTGAAGCTTTTGCTTTGCAGGCTGGGTGGTTTTCTGTTGCAGTGATCCCACAAAAGCTATGATCACCTAGTCAGGACCCAAAGTGTTGTTGTCAAACAATTGCCCCCTAGTTCAGAACCCATCGGTTTAGCATATTTGCTTGCGCTCACCCTGTTCCAGGAAAAGTGCAGCATTATATACAACTTAATGTGCTCCGTAAACATGATTTTTATGCAATCACTTTTTTTTTAATTTAAAACAGCATCTTTTTCTTTTTAAATGCATGGTCTAAAAAGAAAGGAAATAAAAAGATGCAGTCTTTACAATAGCCAGAGAAAGCTTTCAAAATTAGATATTTTGGGCATCTGTATTTTGCAGAATTATTATTTTTGTCATTGTTTTTGTGCCGCAACACACAGCATTCATTCTTTGTACAATGATTTTATTGTATTTCAAATAAAGGTTGTAGTTACATTTATTTGAAATTAATTTTAAAAAGTGCCTTCCTGGTCAGCAGCTTCTATGACTCTGGTTTGACCAAAACTATTTTCTGTGTCAGGAATTGTTTTCCTGATAAGTATCTTTCCTACATCTCTGTGGAAGTGTGTTAAATGTCTTATAAACCACTTTTGGCAAACTTGTATTTTTCAAGCAATAGAGGCTCTTCTCTGCACGTAGGGTCTGTTTCCATGCTGTATGACTCTTCGGTCCAACTAGTCCATGCTGAACATAATTCCAAATTAAACCAGTCCCACCTGCCTACTCCTGGCCCATATCCCTCCAAACCTTTCCTATTCATGTACTTATCCAAATGTCTTTTAATTGTAATTGTGCCCACATCCACCATGTCCCTCAGGAAGCTCACTCCACATGCAAACCACCCTCTGTGTAAAAAATCTGCCCCATATCTTTTCTAAAATCTCTCTCTCACCTTAAAACTATACAACAGAAATCTGCATTTAAAGGGCTAATTTTCCACTTCTTTGTTCTTGCATGTATCAGGAACCGTCTGTGATTATCTGTACATTAATGTTAAACTACAGTACCACAGATCAGAAATGCACAATTTCCACAAGTGTATTCTCAAATTGCAGAGACAGAAAATTTACACTTAAAACGTTATAAAATAATACAGGAACTGCTAATGGTGCGAAAAGGACAATACCTGATACTGCATTCCGTTGTCTTGTTCTGCACTATATACCTACGGGGACAGGTGTTTAGAAGTTTTGATGTCATTCTCGTACTCCCCCAAAACCTATCAGATCTCATTAGCTCAATACTGCAGATATGTACCTCCAAAACCCAGCCCTCGGTCTTTCTGGATAACCTCAGTGGACTGCCAGACTGTGTTCTAAAATTCCTAGGTGAAAATGACCTGAATAACAGTGACTACACTTCAAAAAACTCATTTGACGTTAAGTATGTTAAGATGACCCTGTGGATGCAATGAGATGCAAAATAAATGTAATATTTCTCCTTCTCACAAGCATATAATGTATATAGCGAGCTTACATCTGATGGTCTAATTTATTTAGTTTTAGTTTAATTTTTGTGTCGACAAAAGCTGTCCATGTGATCCACGGCAACAGAGAAGTGATCACAATGATTAAATGGTTACTAACAATAAACACACAATACTGGAGAAACTCAACATGCCTGGCAGCATCTGAAAGAGAGAAACAGAGTTAAATCTTCAGTTCTGGAGAGTCATACCAGATTCGAAACATTAACTCTGTCTTTCTCTCCACAGTAGTTGCCAGATCTGCTGAGTTTCTCCACCATTCTGTGTTTGTTTCAGATTTCCCACATCTGCAGTATTTTGTTCTTATTCGAGAGATTAATGATTATTGATTGTGGGATCAATACTTTAAAATCAAGGTAACAAGTGTAAGGAAAGACAAGTAAATTAAATGAACAGAACATATTTTAAAGGAATGCAATATAATTTTAATGTAGGTAAAATGTTAAAATAGACAATTCTAAATATGATAACATAGTTCCCAAATGTGGAGAAAATAAAGAATGTAGTGAGTCCATTCTGACATTCTGAAGCCGTTTGACGAGAGCCAAATCATGTCCTCAGTCTGCTGCTTCATACCTAAAAACATTAAACAAAGGAGTCAATCTCAGCCTTCAGGATAAAGGGATAGAGGTAATTTAATTGAAAACAGTTACTTTTCAAATATTCCAGTTCATTTTTAAATTCTTTAAAGAAATATTTGAAGACCTTCAAGCATAAAACCTAGAAGGCATCTAATTTGACCATTAGATATCGGAGCAGAATCAGGTCATTTGGGCTATCAAGTCTGCTTCACCATTTGATCATCAGTGATATGTTTCTCAATCCCATTCTCCTGCCTTTTCTCCCCAATTATTGATCCCCTTTCTAATCAAGAACGTATCTATCTCCCATCTTAAACACACTCAATGCCTTGGCCTCCACAGCCTTCTGCACTGAGTTCCACAGATTCACCTCTGTGGACTCTATGACTCTATTGTCTAAGTTTCAATGTGATTCTTTACCACACCAACCCCCACAATCCTTCCAAACTCCCTTTGAGTACAGAACCAGAGTCCTCACTGCTCCTCATATGTCAAGCCCTTCATCCCTGGCATCATTCTTGTAAACCTCCCCTGGATGCCCTCCAATGCTAGCACATCCTTCCTTAAAACTGCACACAGTATTCCAAATGCAGTCTGACCAGAATCTTACACAGCCTCAGCAGTAGATCTCTGTTCTTGTATTCTAGCCCTCTTGAAATGAATGCTAACACTGCACTTGCCTTCCTTACTGCCAAATGACCTGCATGTTAAGAGAAACCTGAATGAAAACTCTAAAGTTCCTTTGTGCTTGAGATTTCTGAAGGCCTTCCCCAGTTACAAAATAGTTTACGCCTCTATTCTTCCTCCCAGAGTGCTTGACCTCACACTTTCCCACACTGTATTCCAACTGCCACTTCTTTGCCCACACTCCTTGCCTATCCAAGTCCTTCTACAGACCGTCTACTTCCTCAACACTACCTGTCCCTCCACGCATCTTCGTATTATCTGCAAAAGTAGCAACAATGCCCTCAGTTCCTTCGCCCAGATTGTTAATGTATAACATAATCATTTGTGGTCCCAACATTGAACCCTGCAGAGCCCCACTAGTCACTGGCTGCCATCCTGAAAAAGACCCCTTTATCCCTACTCTCTGCCTTTTGCCAGTTAGCCAATCCTCTATCCATATTGAATAAGACTGAATTTTACCAAAAATCAGCTGAAAGTTACGAGGAATTTCTTGGAGAGTTCCTTTCCATCAGCTCTAGTGAATTATCTGATGGCCCACCTTATTATGTATGCACCATGCCACTATAAGTTTTGGTTACTTTATCTTCCACTGGCCGGTGACAGAAGCACCAGAACGACCTTCTGAAACTCCTAATGTTTTACTTAAACCACAGCCATGCACTAGGTCAAGTACTGTCAGCCAGCAGCGGTCCTTTACAGTTCCTATGTATGAAGGATTGCCCAAGAAATGGCAAATAGAAGCAAGCTATTAACCCTTCTTTGCCAACAGGGACCTGGAGGTCCTGGTGGTTGCAATGATGGAGATAAGGGATGTCTTCTTTCCTTAGGACCACCAGGGAGACCACACCCTGCCAACCAGATCCAAAGTTCCATCTGAGTCAGTGTGCTGTTCACGGTTTGGAGGTACACCCAGATGTGCAGGAAGAAGGTCAATGACGTTGTGTGCTCCGTTAAGGTAAGTGCTACCATCTTCTTTCTGCTACCAAACACTGCTACTGCACTCACCTTCGACCAAAGCACATGATCTACCAATCTCACTATGCAATATCTTCCCTCACTTGCTCCCACCTTTCCAACACCCCCCCACGACTAATCCTGCATGCCCTCTGCAATGCCTTACTCTCACTCAGGACACCTCAGCACCTATCCCCACAGCAGTGCAGCCACTTTAATCTCACTCAATCTCTCCCTTTGTCTCACTCCAGGAGAAATAATCCCACAACAGGGCAGAGAAAACCAAGATAGTGGTGAGACGTGTGACATCCATCTCATCACCTACTATGAGGGTATAATCCTCACCTTGGTAGGACTGTAACCACTTGTGGCAATGTTGAAATTTCTATGTTCTGGCAACCAAGAAAGATCCATTATCAAACGCTGAGCTGCTCTCTCAACACCACTACTCCCAATGTATTCCTAAGAATACAGAATTCTACTCCCATTTCACAACGTGTTCTCTCATCTCTTGGCAGCACCAATGACATCTGCACAGTCTCTACCCTGAAAAGAGCAGCCCCTCAGGACATCATCTCCTCCTCTGAGGAAGAAGTGACAGTTCTCTCAGAGGAAGCACTGACAAAGCTGGCTCCTGCACCTTCCACCAGTTCAGATACTGGCACCTTGGTTGATGGTTAGCCCATTCTAGGCCATAGGATTTTCAGTCTAGTGTGGGTGTACCCAAGGTGCTTATAGTTATCAGATAGGAATGCGAAAGGAAGGGTTAAATTAGAATATTACCCTAAATTGTAACAGCAGAATAAAAGGCAAGTTTAAGACCAAACTCAGACAATATTTCACTCAAAAAATGCTCATCATTTGCATTGGGTTTCTAGATAGAATGATGAAAGCAAATCCAAGAACTTTATTTTTTAAATTAGATGAAGAGGGAAGATGAACTGCATGGAAGAATGAATAAAGACAGGTTAATTCACCTGGTAATGAAATCTAGATCGGATTCTCCGGCCTTGTAAATCTGGATCGACAGAAAGGGCAACTTACTTTGAAAGACGTTTCCGTAATTCCTTCACTTGCTCATTCTTTTTTGTTAATATTTCTTTCATGTTGCGATAAGCAGCTGTTTCCTGGAATTTTTTGTCCAACTCCTGTTAAAATATTATTATTTCATTTAATATTTCATAGCATGTAAAATGACTTAATTAATATCCATATCTGGGCAAGGCTTCCCTTTGAGTAAAACAGCAAATATAACTTAGCTACATAAAACGTGCAAATTGTTATGTTATTCAGGCAATTCCTGTTACACTTTTTGGTCTGAAACTTCCACTTGGGCAACTGGCAGCAGAATGGCTGCCCATTATAGTACTCAAGTTTCCATTCAGTTCATTGGAAAGGCAAACACCCCACCCTTCTTGCAAAAGCAGCTATAGTAGTTTTAGACTTTGTTTACAACACGAACATGCTATTCTGTTTGCAGCAGTATAGTTTACTTGTCCTGTTGCTGAGGGTGAAACTGAAATTGTTGCATCATGAAGGATCTACAGAATTGCAGTGTTTAAAAAAAACTTTTGCTGAACACAATTATATTGAAATTGTTGTGACTTATTTATGAATCTTAAATTTTGCCAAGGGCTTGGGGGTAGGGGAGATGCTGGACGTTACAAGGCACAATTCTCCAAGGCTAAAAAGGTAGAAGGTCTGGAAGGTCTTTCCCAGTCCAGGCAGACTGCAGGCCTGCTGAACTTCTTTTGGTTGTGTTCTCCTGTCCTGGACACAACTGCAATGCCTGTAGAAGACCTGTAACAGTCATCTATCAGAACTTGAGGCCAAGACGTTGGGAAGCATGGGGATCTAGGAAAAGATTGTCAGGAGTTCTAGATTACATTTTTTTAAAAAACAGTACAATATACATGTACATGCTTTATTTCTGTTTTGGGTGTGTAGTAATGACATTCTGGTACCGAAGAATAAGTTTTATCTAAATTACAGGCTTGCATAATATAGCTGATTTTTCTCCTTTTTTTATGGAGATTGGTTCACCCTCCAGATTCTTAGATAAATGTAATGCAGATTACAAAGAGAAAGGTGCTGCCAAGTTGTTAATTTTCCAGCTGCCCCCAATTAATCTCAATTTGAAAAATCACTCAGCTTTTCTCTAAAACATGAACTAAATATTTTCAAGATAATGAACTTGATTAAAGGAACAGTACCCTTACAGGAAGAAAATTAATATAATTACAATCCCGGTTGTTGCAAGAGTTGACAGATCTGCAATAGATGTCAGCAAAATCCAATGACAGATAGTAAAACCCGAGTCAGCCAAAGAAATTATAGTTTGGCATAGTAATGGGATTGACTAGAGTGATGATGTTCAAATTCGGCAAGATAGAGTTCATTGAATCAAAATACATAGCAACCCTTTGTCAAGGGGTTTGATAATGATGAGAGATAACAAGGTGTAGAGCTGGATGAACACAGCAGGCCAAGCAACATCAGAGGAGCAGGAAGGCTGATGTTTTGGGCCTAGACCCTTTTGATAATGATGTCAGGATTGGACATGTGAATTGGACAATGTGCTACAGGTTCAGAAGGAGTTAGAATAAAACAAACAATGTGATGCATAAAGAGACAAGGCTGCATCTTTGAACTTTTCTCCAAACTTCACTTACTCCCTCCAGATATAAGGTGTCATGATCTGTACTTAGCAGTATTCTTGCCACGACTTTCTATCTATACAGTGAACATCTTTGCCTGACTCAACTCCCCACAATAATGTTTTCCCAGTTGACATTTTTATGGAAGAGTTCCTTCTTGCTCTTAACAATGACTGAATTTCCATCAATTCTGCTTCACTTAATTTTCCCTTGCAGGCACAGAGAAATGTACGTGCCATTCCTCTCCTCCTCCAGCTTCATGTGATGTACTCGCTGATCATAGCAGGATCTCCAATACACTGGAAAAACCAAATGCAATTTGGATAAACTCTCTGTGGAATATCTGTGTCGCAAGTGTGACCATGATCTCCTCGCACTTCCATTCCCTCAACCCTTGACCACAAACTGTTCCAATGAAGCTCAGCACTGGTTTGATGATATTTAGCTTTCTAACCTATATTACACAGCATTCTGGCATCAATATCAACTTCAGATCTTGACTACAGATTTCACTTTGTTTTTGGCAGTAAGTGCTAGCACTGTGGGATGGGTGTGTCAGGATTTCAGAGGAAGGGAAAGAGGGCAGCAGAATACTTGCGGTTTCAGGGGAGAACCCTCAACTTCAACTGTATGTTTGCAAAGCAATCTGCATCCTTAGATTCTGGCCTGTTTTGTTTTGTCAGTTTTTCACACTTAGTTTAATTAATATTGCTGTTCCACCACTCAAGTTGTTTATACTAGGCATTGCATAGCGTAATACCCCACACAAACAGTACAAGGTTCCCATGAAAAGGCAATACTCTATATTGAGTATTTTATGTATCCTAATTGCTTTTATTTACAACTATGAAAAATTTGAATGCTGGTTTCGTACAAAACTCATCCTGCCTCAAGCAAGTTTCAGCTTCACTGCTGCCTTCAACAATTAAAGGGTATTTATTCATTTCTATTTAATAAAGAGGTTCCCAATACAAACCTTTTCAGTCAACGACAGATGTTCCTGTACTTTGAGTAGATCATGTTTAGTGGAAATGAGATTATCTTGTAGGCTCTTTTGCTTTGCAGTGCTCATGCTCAGGTTCTTTTCAAAATCAGCTTTCAAAGCTGCCAACGTCTTCTCAAGAGCAGCAACTTCCTGTGTTTTTAATTTGGACTAGTAAAAAAAAAAGATGGAAAATTCTTGCCATTTTTTGTACAAGAGAAATAATTAGATAAATAAATTCAGTTGGCTATTATGCATACTTTGTAATTTCACATACAGGCATAAATATGCAAATTGCTGAGGTCTATAAATAGTACCTACCAAAAATATCATTCAGGCAGGCAGTAGGGAGCAAACAGATTTTAATTAACATTTGACTCTGTGCTAACACAAGACAGACAAAAAGATGAATAAAGCATATTTGCTTGGTAATGGGTGGTTCAAAACACATACTTCAAAAGTTAAAACACGATCACTATCTTCAACAGAGATAGTAGGAACTGCAGATGCTGGAGAATCTGAGATAACAAGGTGTAGAGCTGGATGAACACAGCAGGCCAAGCAGCATCAGAGGAGCAGGAAGGCTGACGTTTTGGGCCTAGACCCTTCATCAGAAATCTTCAACAGCTTGTGCTGAATTCTGGATACCAGAACTCTCTTCAATAACAGCAAAGCATTGACTTCCAAACTTGAAATTAAAGTCATCTTGTTCCAAAACATAGGGTCTAATTTCAGAAATGGGGGTTAGGTGCAAATATCACTTCCAAAAGAATGGTACATTCTAGAGAAATTATTCCATGTGATTTACCCTTGCTTTAATTGTATGGGAGTTTGGTCAGACTGCACCTGGACTACCATGTGCTGTTTTGGTCTTCTTGTCTCAAGAAAGATTATTCCCTTAGAGGCAGCACAACAAAGGTTCACCAGACTTGTTCCCAAAATGGTGGCACTGTCATCGGACGACAGATTGGGCAAACTGGGCTGGTATTTTCTGAAGTTTCACAGAAATGAGATGTGATCCAGTTGAAACTTACAAAATACTTAAAAAGGGGCACCCAGTGTAGATGTAGCCAATATACATCAGGGCATCTAGAACCAGGGGTACAATTTAAAAATAAGGGGGCCATTCAAGGTTAACATGAGAAAATTTTTTTTTCATTCAGAGGGTTACGAACTGTTGAAATTTTCTACCACAGCAGACTGTGGTCAGTCTTTAAGTATGTTTAAGGTAGAATGATACTTCTCTGATTATCAATGGCATACAGGGCTAAGGGGATGGATGGGTAAAAGGTATTTAAGTGTTCGATCAGCCATGATTGTATTGAATGGCGGGGCAGGAGCGACTGGTTGAATGGCTAACTCCTGCTCCTATGTGGCTACACTAAGAAATTACTGTTGTTGTGATGGTTGTTAGGAAACTGCTACTACCTGTTCTGAATAATAAACACTCCTTTTAAATATACATTCTTTATCCAATAATCAAGTGGGGTAAAAAGACTGAAGGTATGAAGCCTGTTACTTCAGGCTGGGGTAACATTGGCTTGATTCATGATAATTGAATGGGACATAGGACACAGCCTGCGGAACACCATCTTTTGAGCAGGACAGTGGAAATACCACACCCAAAACACTTTCATCTATAACAAGCAGTCTAAAGCTAGTGGGAGATGTTGTTGCACTTCTGCTGTGAAGAAAATAAGCAAGTTTTTCAGCGCAAAGGTCTCATTTCTTGGTAGAAGACTGACTTTCTTCACAGCAAAAGATCAGCTGCATTCACTTAGCACAAATCATAATCTTGAACCAGCAAAGCCCTATACAATCAACAGCTTATTTTGGATGCTATACTGTTGGCAAACACATATAGACTGAAAGTTCATCAGAATATACATTCTTTAGCAACATCTGCTGTTTGGAATAAAACAAAAACAAGACTACACAACAAAACAGCCCCATGCAAGAACAATGACAATTTAATTATCTGATACCCATCAAAGCAATCTTTTTTGGCAAAATAATTCAAGTTAGGATCCAATATGACAATAATTGAAGTGTCAACCTGATTTTTAATACACAGATATCAGAATATTGAAATGGGCTGTTAACCTGGTAGCATCAGTTTTGTCGTTAATCCTCCACCCAAATTCTGTGTCCTTGCCCTGTTCACACATTCCTTCAAACATCTATCTAGCCATTCCTTAAATATTTAGATAGGAGTAGGTTTTCATTGGTTCCACTAAAATGATAAGAAAAAGCTGCTGATGCAGATTGTGGGGATTGTGTGCTGTGCATAGTAATCTCCTAAAATTGCAATTGCTGTCCTTGCCACGCTATAGGATCTCAATTTAAAACAGTAGGCAGTCTGGCTGAGGTAAGCATTCTTGGCTTCCAGGAATACAAAGCTAATGTCAAGCAGATACCTCTTCTTATCTGGTCAACACAAACTTTGGATTGCTGGACAGTAAAGACAGTTTGCCTGAGTCAGACTGTACATCTTTTTAAATTGAACTCCTGTGACATAAAAGGACATCACTTGCCACTTTACAGGCTACAGGATACAACAAACAATCAGCAAAGTATCAAGTGGAGGTCCAGCTGAAGAGGGATCATGAAATAAAGATTGGTTTTTATGGGGCTCAGAAAAGAACGAGTTTTCAACTTAGCTCCAGACACAATCTGGACTATTGCCAATCTGGGTCTTCTTATCACTTCCTGAGATTGGCTTTCTCCCACCCAGAGACCAACTTTCTCCCGGCCTAGTATTACCATAGCGTGGAGTTGCAGACTGTCAGCTATGCCTGTTCTTTGCCCGTGGGAACTCTTGACAGTCTGGTGTGCCCTGCTGGCTGCACAAAGTCTGCTATGTGCTTATGTACCCTATGGTCTCTGCTTTAATCACAAACTCCACTGATGTGCCATATCTTAACAAACCTTGTCCTCTTTGTTCCAAATATCTTAAATATATAAACTTTTAAATTTGTCTTACCTTTTCGTCCTCTGGAACTTTATCCAAGTCATTTAGAATTTGTTCCAATTTGAGCTTTTCCTCAAGTGCATTTGTCGCCTGAAATTGTAGTAATTAAAAACGTCACCTTATCAAAAGACATATGGTTTAAAAACCCAAAATTCCCCAGTTTGTCAATGATCATGCTGTTTACCTGTATTTCTACTGTCTTCAGTCTAGCCTTTAGTTTGTCATTCTCATCTTGGAGTCTTGTAATTTCCTGTACATACCAAATGGAATAAGGTAAATCACATTTAAATAGTGATGGCTTATCGAGGCAGTGTCACCCATTAAATCAATTAGATAAGTGTCATATCTATCTCACTGGCTCTGAAGAATGGTGACTTTCGTGCCAGCAGCGGCAGTGCATCGAAAAGGACTTATGCCTAGCCACCCAGGCCCATGGTGGAGCACTTAACAAGAAGGACTGTAAAGTTGAATGCTTTTTCTTTACTTCTCTGCCACTATTTTCTATGTTTTGGTGTATTTTTCTGTGTTTTAAGATGGTGCCAGAGAGTAGCGACATTGTACAAAACTTTTCACTGTATTTTGTAACAAGATACATGTGACCATAAACAAATTAATAAAAAAAGTTGACGGACTGAATGTAGATCCCACTGAAAGGCTGCCACTTCTAACAATCCATAAATGACTTTGGTTCCTCAAGTAGTATCAGACATTAAATTGAATTTGAGAAAAAATGTCTAATTCTATGAGTAACAGACAAATAATATCAACGGATTGCACTCATTATTGCACCAAGAGGCGGAAAACATTCATTTGTGAATTTGCTGTTGTAATTTTGATGCAAGGGCAAGGAAACTGTGGACCAGTATAAACAATAATTACTCTTTACAGGGTTTCTGCAGCTCTTCCAAAAGGTACAGCAGATAAATGGAACTTGAGAGGGTTCAGAAGAGATTTGCGAGGGTGTTGCTCGGACTGGAGCGTTTGAGCTATAGGGAGAGGCTGAATAGGCCGGGGCTTTCTTCACTAGAACATCTGAGGCTAAGAGTGACTATATAGAGGTTTATAAAAGAACGATGGGTACTGATAGGATGAATAGCCGAGGTCTTTTTCCTAGGGCAGGGGAATTCAAAACTAGAGGGCTTAGGTTTAAGGGGAGAGGGGAAAGACTGAAAAAGGACCTGAGGGGTAACCTTTTCATGCAAAGGATTGTGCACGTATGGAATGAGCAGCCAGAGGAAATAGTGGAGGCGTCTACAATTACAACATTTAAAAGGCATCTGAATAGATCTATGAATAGGAAATGTTAGAGGGATATCAGCCAAATGCTGGCAAATGGGACTAGGTCAAATAGGGATGTCTGGTTGTCACAGACGAGTTGGACCAAAGGGTCTGTTTCCGCACTGTATGACTCGATGATCTTACCTCCAGATAAGTCATAATGGGCAGACTTACTCATTTTATATCGTGCTGCAGTTCTACCCATGTCAGCTTCTCTCCCTCTCCTTTTGACTGCTCCTTCTCCACCCAACCAGCCCTCAAGCCACGTGTAATTCATGTCTCACTGTCTTCAATATATATTCATACCCCCATCCTGTCCTGGAGAGAATTCTTTCACCATTGTCTTCCTCACTTCTCTACACTTTCCGGCATCTAAACTGACTTGCCATCGTTTTCAGCTTTTTCAACAATGCCACTTTGGCATGAGATCTCTCACCCTGCCATCCCTTTCAACTTATTTCCTCCCTAAGTTCTCCACCAGCCTTACTCTTTCTGGCATGAGAGCTGTGGCTCAGTTGGTAGCATTCTCACCCAAGTCAGAAGTTTGTGGGTTCAAGCTAAGCCAGGCTGACACCCAAGTGCAGTACAAAGGATGTGTTGCGTTCGTGGAGGTGACACCTAGGTGGTTGTGAAGTTAAACTGAGACCCTGTCGACCCTCTCAGATAGATGTAAAAAGATTCATTGCATTATTTTCAAGTTGAGCAATGGGGTTAAGCCTCTGTCCTCGCCAATATTTATTTCTCAATCGTTATCACTAAGAATACAATGACCTGGTCATTATCACATGCAGCAAAAACAGAAATTGCTGGAAAAGCTCAGCAGGTCTGGCACATCTGTGGAGAAAAAAAAATCAGAATTAATGTTTCGAGTCCGGAGGAAACGGCACTGGACCTGAAAACTTTAACTTTGATTTTTTTCTCCACAGATGCTGCCAGACCTGCTGAGCTTTTCCAGCAACTTCTGTTTTTGTTCCTGATTTACAGCATCCGCAGTTCTTTTGGTTTTCATTATCACATGGTTTTTTTAAAAGATGTTACTGAGCCACATTTCCTACAATGGCCTATCAAGTACTTTGGCACATCTTTAGGTCATGAAAGGCACTATATAAATGCAAATTCTTCTTTCTTTGCTCCTTCCTCCCATAACACATACTATAGCATAATTCCCACTACCCACCATTTTGGCTTTTCCTAAATGTTTATCCAGCTGTAAATGAGAATTGTTTTACTGAAACTATGCACTAGAGAAATTTAAACACTTTAAAATCAAATTGCTGGACAGAGATGTGCAGGAAGAAAGTGGCTACAGTCTGAGGAGATAGGCCAAGTTAGGAGTAGATGAGTTGCTAAAGGTACGAGACCATAACCAGATCAGCCAAGATCTTATTGAATAGTGGAGCAGGCTCAGCCAAATAGGACTTAGGAGGAGGAGTAGGCTATGTTCCAATGCTCTATGTTCCTTTGAGAAGGATGAGAGCAGAGGTCAGACCAGCACTGGCAAGCACAGAAAGGACACATAGGCACAAGTCTAAGATAGGGACCTCAATGAGAATGGGCAGGTTAGAATAAAGAAATAAATTTAAAATTAAACTCAATCTAATTTAAATACAAGTTATTTCAATGGTTTACCCATCATTAACAATCAAGTTCACCTGTAGTGCCATCGATAACAAGGAAGCCTGAAGATACATAGGATTGGTAGGGAAATTAACATTTCACGACTATGATTATAAGTAAACTAAATCAAAGTATATTCATTGATTAATCTATTATTTTGCTTAACAGTAGCCAATGCAGATCCCAGCATTTTATCACGTGACTCTACTTAGCTTCACGTGACAAAAATGCACCATGAGATTGGAAACAGATTGCAGACAATATCCTAATGCATTCAAGCTACAGCTGCAAGACTAATGGGCTCTACTTAGCTTATGTCTTCAGGAATAGTGCCAGAAGACTGGAGACTAGCAAATGTTGTCCCCTTGTTCAAGAAGGGGAGTAGAGACAACCCTGGTAATTATAGACCAGTGAGCCTTACTTCGGTTGTGGGTAAAGTGTTGGAAAGGATTATAAGAGATAGGATTTATAATCATCTAGAAAGGAATAATTTGATTAGGGATAGTCAACACGGTTTTGTGAAGGGTAGATCGTGCCTCACAAACCTTATTGAGTTCTTTGAGAAGGTGACCAAACAGGTGGATGAGGGTAAAGCGGTTGATGTGGTGTATATGGATTTTAGTAAAGCGTTTGATAAGGTTCCCCATGGTAGGCTTTTGCAGAAAATACGGAGGCATGGGATTGAGGGTGATTTAGCGGTTTGGATCAGAAATTGGCTAGCTGTAAGAAGACAGAGGGTGGTGGTTGATGGGAAATGTTCATCCTGGAGTTCAGTTACTAGTGGTGTACCTCAAGGATCTGTTTTGGGGCCAATGCTGTTTGTCATTTTTATAAATGACCTGGATGAGGGCGTAGAAGGATGGGTTAGTAAATTTGCGGATGACACCAAAGTCGGTGGAGTTGTGGATAGTGCGGAAGGATGTTGCAGGTTACAGAGGGACATAAATAAGCTGCAGAGCTGGGCTGAGAGGTGGCAAATGGAGTTTAATGTGGAAAAGTGTGAGGTGATTCACTTTGGAAGGAGTAACAGGAATACAGAGTACTGGGTTAATGGTAAGATTCTTGGTAGTGTGGATGAGCAGAGAGATCTCAGTGTCCATGTGCATAGATCACTGAAAGTTGCCACCCAGGTTGATAGCGTTGTTAGGAAGACGTACGGTATGTTAGGTTTTATTGGTAGAGGGATTGAGTTTCGGAGCCATGAGGTCATGTTGCAGCTGTACCAAACTCTGGTGCGGCCGCACTTGGAGTATTGCGTACAGTTCTGGTCACCGCATTATAGGAAGGATGTGGAAGCATTGGAAAGGGTGCAGAGGAGATTTACCAGGATGTTGCCTGGTATGGAGGGAAGGTCTTATGAGGAAAGGCTGAGGGACTTGAGGCTGTTTTCGTTAGAGAGAAGAAGGTTAAGAGGTGACTTAATAGAGACATACAAGATGATCAGAGGATTAGACAGGGTGGACAGTGGAAGCCTTTTTCCTCGGATGGTGATGGCTAGCACGAGGGGACATAGCTTTAAATTGAGGGGTGATAGATATAGGGCAGATGTCAGAGGTAGGTTCTTTTCTCAGAGAGTAGTAAGGGCGTGGAATGCCCTGCCTGCAAAAGTAGTAGACTCGCCAACTTTAAGGGCATTTAAATGGTCATTGGATAAACATATGGATGCTAATGGAATAGTTCAGGTTAGATGGGCTTCAGATTGGTTTCACAGGTCGGCGCAACATCGAGGGCCGAAGGGCCTGTACTGCGCTGTAATGTTCTATGTTCTATGTGTAGCTTATATGCAGACTCCCATGGTTGAATAAGGCCAAGGTAATATACTCCTGGCTCGTTAGACTTCTCAAGCAAACATAATCACTGCAGAGCCCTTGTACTGGTGTATTTTAATTGTTTAGAAGTGGAGCGATTGATTGAACATAACCTTTGTGATAGTTTCAGATGCTGTAAAATTTTTAATTAAACTCTGCTATAGTGTCTCATGCTCAACTGCTCATATAAATACTATTCCAAACATTGTTCTGTAATCAGGTGCTACTAACTTTTCCACTTGTATGCTCGGGATCACTGTCTGAATTGGATTTTGCTTTGCAGTTGTAGCTATTAGACTGCACTGCCAAGCTATATCACTAGATGGCTCCTCACTACAAGGGGAGCAGCAAACAGCTATTGAAGCCAAGGATCAGGAAGAAGGATCTTCTTGCTTTCTCTAAAGTTATTACGGGCAAATGCAGAAATTAGTCTGGGCTGGTGGGCCTAGTTGACACTGACTGATCAATGTGGGCCTGAACAGATCAATCAAAGCTTAGTTGAAATTGAACCTCAGGGTGCCTCAACTGGAAATTTGTAGTCTTCACAGGGGAAATGAATTTTTGGCCACCAGCATAGCACTTGGCTAAATTCCAGAGTGGAATTTCATCTGTGAATGTGAGCAAGGATTCAATCACCACATCTGGGAATTTGAGGGACAGGGATTGGAAGAAGCAAGGGAGCACTATGGTTCCTCATGGCCCAATTTGTAAGCTTCTTTCCACTTCTAATGTGAAACATACTGAAAAATCTTTAGTAGTGTGATCTACTCATTGGAAACAAATTTTGTAGAGTGATCTATCAGTGATGCCTAAAAATTGTTTCCCACAAACTTCATGGTGAGATCAGAAACTGCATAAACTGTTCTACCACCAAATTGGTATGCTGAGCAGAATGAAAAGGCTATCAACCTGAAATATTAACTGTTTTTCTCTCCACAGATACTGCCCGATTTGCTGATATTTCTTGGATGCAAATTTTCTTGACCTCGAATTTTCATCCTTTGAAATCCTCTGCAATAGTTTTGACAAGTTAATCTATTTACCTCTACAATTTCCTGCTCTTCCTATCTACATGATCTACAGTGCCACAGTCAGCAAACTTTACCTTTATTCACATCATCTACAAATATAATGAAAATCTGAGGTTCTGACACAAATCCCTGGGGGACATCACTAGTCACATATGGCCCATTTGAGTACAACCCCATTTTCTTACTTTCTGTCTTTCAACTATAAACCAATGCTATATCTAAACCTCTTGCCCGATTCCATGCGCTGCTAATTTTTGGTAATGGTCTATGTTAAATCTTGGCAAATGCCTTCTGCAAGTTCAAATAACATCTTCAGACAATCTTTTATCTACCACATCTGTCATCTCCTCAAATATTTAAACTAGATACACTAGACAAGATGCATCCTTTACAAATCTATACTGGTTCGCTCTGATCAATTCACTTTTAACCAAGCGTTGAGTCAACGTGCTCCCAATAATAACTTCCCCACAACCAATATTTGACCAAGATAATTCCAAACCCAGTTTGGCTTGCCTGTCTTGATACAATGAAGTGAATTTGGCAGTTTCTAAAATCAAGGCAATTCCTAAAAATACAACAACTTATTTGCGACATAAATTAAAGTCAATTAACATGGTCATATTTTAGCATTATTTTTCTCAGACAAGTATTACCTTACTCAAGAGTTCAGACACTCCTTCATTTAGTGGAGCAAGTTTGGGTTTAGTGATTTCTGCGTTTGCCTGCAGTAAAGAGAGGGGAACAGAAATTAATACTTTGGATCACCACATCAAAAAAGATAGTGTCCCGTATCCTTCCTGGCTCCAGACAATCCAAAACTGGATGTATGAGAATGAGAATTGATGCTCATCTGGAGGTTCTGACACAGGATCTACAGGGGAACTTCCCAGGAAACTTAAACATCTGATGGGCAACTCCCAGGTCCTTCCAAGAATGTTTCTGATGCTGAGCTAGAGTCAGAGACTTTTAACTGTTCCTTGGAATTTAGCCAAGTAATTTCCTAAGAAATGTTATTAAATTTAATTTAATGTTAATGGAAATGTTAGACAAAAAATCTTTGTCTATCTCCCAGGTAACTCTAGAAACAATACCCCAATCACTCCAACTGACCCCTGAACTCACCATCCCACCCCAACTAACCCTGTGATACCTCATTAGTCCCCAATTACCACCAAGGTTCAGGCAAAATAAGAGAAGGCTAATTGTACCAGTTATTATTTATGTACAAACATCACAATTTCAGGTGAAGTAAGATGAATGATTAAGCTGGAAAATTGAAAAGTTGCTGCCAGATATGATGCTCTGCCTTTAGCTTCATAAAAACAGCATCTTACTGCCTGGCTCAATGTTGAAATGTATACAGCAATTATTACCGAGACCATCTCCCACCCTTTGCTGGTTGAAGTTCTCTCTACAGTCCAACCAATCATTGCCTTTATTATCATTAGACTTGACTTTGCAACATATTTTTGGCCGGCCTTCCATGTCATAATCGCTATATATCTAAAGTTCTACACCAATGTACTTACATTCACTAAGTCCCAATCACTTCTCACTTTTGTTCTCAGTCAGAACATCTTGATTTTAACATTTTCTTCCCTTGGCTTGATGTTGAAGTTTGTTTCCATGAAACAGCTTGGAATGTTTTACATATGCCATACAAAATTAGGTTGTTCTTATCTTGGCAAAAGCTATTAATTGCTACAGGAGGAAGCTTAGAACACCTGGATTTACTAATTAGTAATCATTGTGTCAGTTACTCTGTCATCTATTACCCTGAACTTCTCTCCTCATGTTAAATTATTCTTTCCCTTGTACTGTTTTGTCCATTTATTCATATTGAGTCTTTTTCTTTGACTATATACTCTCTTTGTGACTTTAATCCTGTAATTGTTACTCCACATATTTTCTATAAGACCATAAGATGTAGGAACATAAGAAGGCCATAGAACTCACAGAATTTGTTCTGTCATTCAGCGAGATTATTGCTGATGTGACAATCTTCGACTCCACTTTCCTGCCCTTTCCCCATAACCCTCGATTCCCTTACTAATTAAAAATCGTTCTACCCCAGCCTTGAATATATTTAACGACTATTCCTCCATAGCCCTCTGCAGTTCTTTGTTACTTCAAATATCTGTCCTTTTCCTTCAGCAGTTTCCATTGCTTCCTTGGTATTCTACTTAGAAGTGTAGAAAGCCTGGTATTTATTGCTGTGGTGGGCCTGTGCACTTTGCCATCACTTTCTGTTTAAATTTCAAGTCTGATTCACTGTTCTTCATCTCTCCCATATTATGATTTTCCTTAGGCCTCCCACTGCCCAAGAAAGTCAGATGTCCTTAGTTTCTTTGATGTCATTAGTTTCTTTATCACATCTTTCCATCAGTTTATTGAGTAGATCTGTTATATTATTCAATTAGTACACTGATGCTTCCTCCTCGGTGATGACTGTTCCTGCCACTTATTTTTTGCTGATTTTATTCATGAGCTTCATCATTTAGTTTTCTGAACTACATAAACCCATAATATTAACTGTTTAACCTCGCCACAGATGTCGCATTATCTGTTGTGCTTTGCCAGCATTTTCCATTAGTGTTTCAGAACTCTATCAACTTGTGATAGTTTTCCATTCACTTAAATTAGAAACATTTAGAGTTTACTTTGCAAGAAAATTATACTTGTTAAAATATTAACAAGCACAGTGAAATAAAGGAGAAATTGACCACTTTATCATCAGAAGAATCGAATGCAATGATGTTGCTGTTAGTTTTCTTTCAGAAAATGTCGCAAGGGGAGAAGTTGACTTGTGTAGCACTATTTCAATGATACAATTGAAGAATACTGAGCAGGTTACATGGGCTGTCTGCATTGCTGCCTCTTCCTGGGGAAACACAGGTCTAATTTTCTAGATCATCCAGATCACTATTCTGTGCTGCCATAATTTTCACACTGCCCTCTGTTGTGTTCTTCAGAAAATACAGTACATTACTTTTATTTAAGCTGTCTGGTGCATTTCTAATACCTACTCTTTTGTAGATCCTATACAGCTGTAATTTATTCCTTATTGTTGCTGTGAGCACGAAATGTTAGATTTGGGAAACAAGCTATCTGCCTTTACTCACTGAAATTAAACAACCCACAACTTTGCAGAAATACTGCAATAAACTTGATACTATATACTGTTTGACAAATAAGAGCTTTAATTTTACAACATTAAACAAAGATTAAGTTTAATTTACATTTAAATTAAACTCACTTTCTTTCCTGATGAAGTAAATTCTGCTTTTTCAAATTCTGCCACTTGTTCCAAGAGTTCTCTGTAGTGAAATGAAAAAAAAAGCACAAATTACTATATGCAAATAGGTGAAGTTAGTTCAAGCAGCCTACCTAGCAGTCCAGAAACCAAATGGACCCTCAGAAAAAGAACAAAGTTTTTTCCCACATTGTCAATATTGTCTAGCTCTGTGTAAGAACCAGCTGCTTTCCAGGCCCTAACCACTGAGCTGAATTAAAGCAACAATTTGATATTGGCAGATCGACCCAGCATGAAAATCAGGCCTGCCCATCAACATGGCTCAGGCATCACAACAGATGGGTAACAGGAGCATTCTGCTTGTCAAGTCTCAATGGTGAGCCAAACATTAAAAATCGGTAACAGTATCTCTGCAAAGGTTCAGGAAGGATTCAAACTGCATAAACGTGCTTAAAGTTCACGTTTTTATTGAGTTTAAACAACCCAGCAAACTTTAATAATGGACTGGTCTTCTAGAATTTTATTCTCTGAACATAATAAAAATATACAAAAAATGACATCGTTCCCAATCATAACAAACCAATCAATAAAAATGTTTCTTTGAGTATCATCAGAATGATTTTGAATGTCTCAGCTTTTATTAAAATCTGGGCTTAAAGTTGGCATTTTCCCCCAAAATTATATTCTGTTCTCTGAATATATACAATAAATACCATTTCTCAAGTTGCATTAGAGGATTCTCAATGGAAATGGACAGCATGACACAATGACTTCAAAGGGTTTCTAAGTTTCAGCAGATGATTTGAAAGCAAGCTGGTAAATTTTTCAGGTGAAAGCTTTACATTCAACTACATCAAATTTAGCTAACACAGACAATGTCAGAGCACATGTTAATTGAAATCAACTTGCGGTGTGAAATTTTTAGGTAATTTCACATCAATTGTTAAACTTAAAAGTAGATACAAAGTCTAAGTTAGAGATAGTTCACCAGGACCACACGTTAATTAAATCACAGTTAATTTGTTGCATAGCAGACAGAACCTGATTGAATCTAATTGCTTTTCTTTACTCAAAACTCTTAGTAAAATCAGAAATTAAACAGAGCCAAATCAATTAAAAAACGCTTTTCATTTTTCTTACCCAACATTTACTCAATTATGTGGATTAAAATTTTGAATTTATAAAGTTACAAATTAATAAAAAACTTCTGTTTTCTAAGATTCTTTTAAAAAAAACATACAAAACTTTCCAATTCCAATGAAAAGCTGGGCTATTGACATTTGCCTACTAGCAGGTAAATAGAGAGAAAACAAGCTAATGCTTCGAGTCTAGTTGACTCATCATGAAAAGTCATCTGGACTTGAGATGTTGTTTACTTTCTCTCCATGGATGCTGCCTGACCTGCTGTGATCGATACAAATTCCAGAATCTGCAGTAATTTGCTCTTATCAGATAAATAGACTTGACTTGCTGTTCCATTTGAATTACCACACACTGCACTTGTCTGTAACATGGTTTTGCTCCAGTCCAATCCAATATATTCCTTACCTGGTAAGCCAGCTTTTAGCTTTTAAGTACTGAGGCAAAGCATGCATTAAACAACTGTGCCATTGTATTCTCACCACAGTCTTTTTCAACAGGCCCTCCCAAATAATATTGTTTTCCTTAAAGT